ATCAGGACACCTCCTTGTCCTGAAACAATTCCCGAAAGAGTATCCAGTTAAATATTTCAAATGTTTTTTTTTCCTTGAATTCATCAATACTTTTTCTATCTAAATGTGTAATAAAATGTTTTTCTTTCTTCTTCATGGAATCGCTTTGATTTCCTTCCGATTACTGCATAAATATATACAACAAATGATACTTAAGAAAAAAACTCTTTTTTAATCAGACATATTCAATTTCGTCTTTCATTTGAAATGAATTTACTCTTAATTTGATTTTGTTCATCGAATAATTAACATAACTTAAGTGTACTTCAATTAATTATAATGAATATAAAAAAAATGCAAAGAAAACATAATGACTTGATAAATCTTTGGTAGAAGAACGTTCTATACAAAAGATAATAGTATGAAATATGATCGTTTCGCGAAGCTGAAATTACATATAGTTATACCTAACAAAACTTTATTAATTTATAATTTCACAATAATTGTCCGATTGTAACAATGATTCACATTCTCGGAATTTTTTCACTATTAATTAAATGACTATTAACTTAGTAATAGTAACCGACTAATTCTATGCTTTACTCAAAAGTCATCATATTTAAATAACATCTCATATTTTGTGTTTCGTTTTTAAATTGTTTGCCTATTATCATGAAAAAAAACGCAACGAATTGCGAACATAGAAATTCATAAATTGTCAAAAAAAAACTTTATTTTGCGATATTATAATACATCGAGAAATAATTGTTTAAAATTAACATATATCAACTATTAAAAAAAAAAAGAAGAAAAGATCGATCGGTAAACACCTGTTGCACTTTCCAAAGGAATTTTATACATCTTTGTTAGAACTAGTCGATAGATTGAATAACAATACAAAAATAAAAACTTAATATTGACCATGAATTTGATAAAAATTCATCGATTTTAACTATATATATATATATACAAGTGGTAATAGATAAAAGAAAAGTGTTCGATATTAAATTTCTTTTGAATATCATCAGAAGTTTTTGTTCTAAAAATAAATTCAATATCTTACCTCACATAATCGAGGACAAACTAACAATAAATAGAAGAATACTATTCTTGTTCCTCTTCAGCATTCGTATTGCTTTTGTTGAGAAAACTCGAGAAAGTGACGACGTAAAAAGCAGAGAAGAAGGGGAGAGAGAGAGAGAGAGAGATGCAGAGAGAGGAATTATTATAAACTGAATGCAATAAAATGAATATACATACTATTTGCATACATAACGGGGACCGCGGACACGAGCTCCTGTTCGCCTCTCAACGATGAGGAGATGCAAGCATGTTACGTTCACGGCGCGAGAAAAAGAAAAAAAAAGAACTTTGGAGATGGTGGCTAATGAGATCAAACTCGAATTTGAATATATATTTATATGTATGTATGTTTGAATGTATGCATTCTCTTCTTATTTCATTACCTACACTAGTATATAAAACATACGATACAATAGAACTTCGAGAACTTGTTAATAACGATAATCATATATATATATACATGCCAAAAACAGATAATGACTTAACTATTGTATTCTCTGCATATTTGTTTTTGTTTAAAAAGATTTAACTTTTGTAAAGAATATTAACTCATGAAGTCGGAATTTATAATAATAAAAATCTTCTTATTTAAAAATAAAAAATGACGAAGTTATAATTTAAGAAAAAACATCACAGGTAAAAATACCTGTTAGATTACAAAGTAAAACGCTTACCATATCTGATGATTGTAATCGTTGCTAGTGACGAGTCATATAAATGTGTAGCTTTCTCGTCTCGTTTCTTTTTTTCTTTTTTCTTTTTCTAATTGATTATGCATACACCATCTCTTCTTCTCTTGCCGTCATCATCACATTATATGACCTCGTACTGATTTTTTATTCATGTAGATTTTTTTTTTCTCGCTCGCTTCATTTATGTACAACATATATATATATATTATATGTTGATTTGATCATCATCATCATTAAAATGCATACAGAGAGATATTCTTTATTATCGTGTATATCATATTTAGATTTCATATATCAAATAAATATTCAAAAATGAATATTTACTGAAGAAAGAGAGAAGAGAGATTAGAATAATTATTTAAAAAAGAAAAAGAAAAGAAAAGCATGAATGATCTTTCTTTTGAATGTTAATTTCAAAAACAGAATATTTAAATACATTGAATAGAATTCTACTCGTTTTATTAGTATTGCACAATCGATTACTTGACAAGATGTTAGAAGTTTTCTTTTTAGGAATATAGTAAAGAGAGGTAATGTGCTACGCGTTTGATTTCATTAGGATAGAAATTTTTCACTTGTTCCACAAAACTAATATATAAGTAGAATATTGTCTCACATCATAGTTTGAAGTGATTAGCTAAACTTAGACTTGTTTCTTTAGCTTGTAAAATCAATGAAGATTTTACTAATAAACAGAAAATATGTAATTACTGTCTGTATTTTTTTTTCTTTTAAAAAATAGAATTTAGTTGAATTAAAATTTAAATATATAGACTCAACATCATTTATATGCATAGAAATTTTCTTGAATAGTCATTATCATTTCCGGAGGGGAGGAACGGTTATAGAAGAAAATCATTTTCGGCTTGTCAAAACTAATTAATCCATTCTTTCATTAATTATTTATATTGTTCAACAGAAGAAAATATCAATTCTTTCGTTTCCTATTTGATTATTATCCTGGCTTCTATATTTTACAAATACCACATTGAGAAATATGAATATGTAAGAATGTTCAGCATAGGAAGATTGAGTATAATAAACAATCCATTGAATTTCCAAAATGTTTTCTTCTAAGAGAAATTTGGATTGCAAAAGCTAAAAGTCGTCTTTCTCATCTAGAGTCCATCGAGCTGCAAAACATTTGATAGAGTTGATAATTTCTTACAGGTATCAGAAATTATCTGCGGTCCCTAATATTTCTTTTTATCTTCTTCCATTGGAATAAATGGTAAAAATACTGAAAGTAAACGCAAAAAATAAATTACGTTGTCACTTTTCTTGTCTAGAAAAATGTCTACTGACAATCAATGATATCGTGAAAATTTATCGCTATCGAATCTTCAAAGTACACATCCAAAATTATATGCTTATTTTAAATAAATTAACTGACGAGGAAAATGCAATTCATGCTAACGTATTATAAGTCAACTGTGGATAAGTGATAAAAAAAAATCAGCATTTTAAACAATATTTATTGAATATTGTCTCCGCTCAAGCATTCTGACTCATATTTACTGAGTCACTTATAATATTTCGTTTTATTTCTTTTTTACTCTTACGAATTCGATATACTTAATCACTTTCATCCTTATGCTGTTGACAATTACCGCGCTACACTTTCATCAAGTTCGCGACTTTGTTTGGAAGATTGATACGTGAAGGATAAAGTGTGCTTTACAATAATAATAATAAAATGCTAATGAATGATCAGATGTGTTATAGAAAAAACACTGCTTGTTTTTTTTACATACCTATGGTTCATATCAATCGCTGAAATCCAATGAAGTAATAAATGCTAGGTAGGTGAAAGAATAATGATAATGGGTCATAGGAAAGTTTTTTTAGATAAGATTGCTTGTTCACTTTTGACCCACAAGAAAACATGTCTGACAAACTTAAAGCTACGAATTAGAATGCTCTTTAGGAATAACGATTTGGACCTATTGTCTCAGTTTTTTGTTTAAAAGTTGTGAAATAATGTGTGAAAAGTCAAAAAACTTAGTTTTGGATATTCACTATGTTTTTCTTTGTCTTTCAGCAAGACATCTCAATATTCTTTTTTTTGTAAATACTCAGTTTTGAAATGCCGACAACCGTTTTATGTTGCAAGGAGCTCTTGAAAAAATTCTTCGGTAAAAGCTACAGCTTTGTTTAATATCACATTTTGTAGAGAAGTGTCCGCTCTGCAAAATGATCGATTCCGACAATTTTTTAACATGTTAGAAAAGATATTTATAGGATGAACAAAAATCTGTTGGCTTAGCATTAAAAATAATATTTTCGAGTCTTCGAAATCTATATTCCAACTCTGATCGCGATCTATAGTTCCTCTGAAATACTTTCAATTAGACCAAAATGAACAAACATATTCACAATTGCCAACCTAAACTAATGTTTTTACTTTTCAAAGATTATTTCACTATTCTGGTTCTAACTCATAGTTTTTGTCTTGTTGAAAATACTTTCTTGCGAGTCCAAAGTGAACAATTATCGCATCAAAAAACATTTTCAATCACCCGTTAGACTAGTTTTTTGTAAGCGTTTTTTTAATGAATCTATATTCAATTTGCTATTTATATTTTTTCGATCAGTTCAATTATTTTAAATTTATAAAAAATAGTATAGATGAATAAAGTTATTTGATATCAACAATGAAATTTAGTAACAAGAAAATGGCGCTATTAACATAATGAATCATTACGATTGTTTAACAGCACTATGTGGTTCTATACTTGGTATATTAGCTTTAATTTTTGCTTGTACAGCTTTATCTTCACGTAATTGGGAAAAAGAAACCAATATCGATTATTTTCGTTCATCATCTAAATATAATCAACTTCATTTATCTCGAGTTATGAGTATTTTTAGTCTTATTTTCACATTTATCGGTATAATTACATCATCATTTATGATAATAAAGTAAACAAAAAAAAAAAACAATTTTTTGTTTACTTATTTCAAGAATTAAAATTATTTTTATAGACATTTTGCGAAATATTGGAATTTATTAGCTCCTGGAGCTTATCTTCTTGCATCGTTAACGCTTCTTTTAGCTATGTGTGAAGCATCTCGATTAATACATCATAATGGTTGGCCATCATACATCTATGGAATATCATTTAGTCTACTTCTATTAGCAACACAAATTATGGCCGCACTTTCTGGAAAACTTATTTTTTCCTGTCAATCATTATAGAATATGTTTATTCATTTTATTTTAACATCTATATATATATATATATATCAATAAAATTCATCTTCGTCAGCTTTATTTCGACATACACATACAGCCATAATTAATGCAATTAACTAAAAAAAAGAAAATCAAATAGAATTTATCAATTAATTTTATCTAAAATATATATTTTTTTGCTTTTGTTTTTACTTCAAGTAAAGCAATTCCAATTCCAACACCAACAATTAATCGTGAATAAAGTTGTACATATTCATTTATAATTTGAAAACAACCTAATCGATGTGAATCAGCTTCATTACAAACACCATTTAATAAATGATTACAACACGATGATGGAAGACGATTACCAAATATTTTATAATCAGCATTAGCATGAAAATCAGTTGGACCATCAATACCACAACAGGCAAACTAAATCAATATATTTTTCTTTTAAATAATCATTAACATATTTATTTATCATTAACTATTCGGTCATAGAGTATTTTCTCTTTACCTTATGTTTTCAGTATCATTGTACAATATCACTGTAAATGTATGTCAAGTGAAAAAGAAAGAATTGAAAATTTAGAATCTCTTCAAGGTATTCCGCAAGTTATGAACCTCAACGAAAATTAGTTTATATGTAAACAAAAGCTGATTCCTACTCAACTATATCTATATGAGCTTCGAGTGCTATTTTAAATAGTACATTATCTCTTTTCAAAAGTGTACGTTACATATGATGAATTCATAATTCATTAAAATTTCTTTAAAAAATACTGTTCGGTTTCGAGAGGGTAATGACCATTCTCTATTCACAATTAAACGAATTTTTGTTGACGTCCAGAATTTATAAGACACTACTTATATCTAAAATTGTTCAAAGCCCTGTGAAATTCAATATTTTGATATGTCTATAAGTACTGAATTTTATAGTGTTCGTTGAATTTTAATATAATTTGCTGTATATTAATCTATTTAAGACACTTTACGAAAGCTGAAATTCTATTGCAAAGGTCTAGCATCAAATCATTTTTAGACTAATAATTTTAGTTAGTAATAGAAAAGAAAATGACAATTATCAATACCTGTTTATGAACAGTATCTAAATCAAATTCAAATCTTTGTGGTATTGAATAATTATATGGTGAAAGACGTCTTTTTAATGTATTGGGTAATCTTGTATCCCATTCGTCACCTAATAGTACTGTATACATAGCTACAACAAGTTCTCCACCCATGACAAGTATTATAAAAAAGACATACTAAANCGTCAATCTCTGTCAAGTGAAACAGAAAGAATTGAAGATTTAGAATCTCTTCAAGGTATTCCGCAAGTTATGAATCTCGACGAAAATTAGTTTATATGTAAACAAAAGCTGATTCCTACTCAACTATATCTATATGAGCTTCGAGTGCTATTTTAAATATTACATTATCTCTTTTCAGAAGTGTACGTTACATATGATGAATTCATAATTCATTAAAATTTCTTTAAAAAATACTGTTCGGTTTCGAGAGGGTAAGGACCATTCTCTATTCACAATTAAACGAATTTTTGTTGACGTCCAGAATTTATAAGACACTACTTATATCTAAAATTGTTCAAAGCCCTGTAAAATTCAATATTTTGATATGTCTATAAGTACTGAATTTTAACATAATTTGCTGTATATTAATCTATTTAAGACACTTTACGAAAGCTGAAATTCTATTGCAAAGGTCTAGCATTAAATCGTTTTTAGACTAATAGTTTTAGTTAGTAATAGAAAAGAAAATGACAATTCTCAATACCTGTTTATGAACAGTATCTAAATCAAATTCAAATCTTTGTGGTATTGAATAATTATATGTTGAAAGACGTCTTTTTAATGTATTGGGTAATCTTGTATCCCATTCGTCACCTAATAGTACTGTATACATAGCTACAACAAGTTCTCCACCCATGACAAGTATTATAAAAAAGACATACTAAATAATTAAAATAATATTTTTATTAATGAAAATATTTATTTAAAATAACTTACAAGTCCAAGTAAAAGTCGAGATTCACGTACTGAACCACAACAACCAAGTAAACCAACAATAAAGACAAGTGCGCCAACACCAATTAATACATAACCAACATTAAGAAATGATGGTACAAGATGTGAATCATAAGATAAAAGTGCAAATAGTTCATGTAAATCACGTTTATATAAAACAAGAATTCCACAACTAAGAAAAACACCACCAGTTAACTAAATAAAAAAACAATAGTCAATCAATCAATCAATAGAAATAATTCAATATTTTACCCAAATAATTAAGTTGAAAAATAAAAGTAAATATTTCGCACATAAACAACAGGCCATCGTGTAATAATTAGATTGAATTAAAACAGCAAAAACACAAAGATATAAAAGAACAATGATTAACTGTCACAAATGTCAAGTGTTGATGACGGACGGATGTTGAAACCGAACAATGTACTCTTTCCCTCTCTCGCTCTCTCTCGTACTGCAATTAGAACGAGTACTTTTGCTATTGTTCGTTCACCTTGGACAACGATGCGGCGTATAGATAAGAAAAAAGGAACAACAACAGCGAGAGGCAACGGTGAAATTCATTCCTTTTCTTTTTCTCTCATTTTTCTTTTTCTTCTTCTTTTCTCTCTTTTATTTTTTCAAGCTAAACCATTGTGCATACTGAGTATTAGTTCTGCTGATGTCTTTGACCAATTAATAAAATAGCGACATCACTTCATATGGATTAACGAAGAGAAGAATCAATGATCCCTTCCGTTAAGAATAGTATAGAAAGAAAGAAAGAAAGAAAGAAAAAAAAGTGAGTTATTTCCGTCTTAACAAAGGAAATAATAAATGTCTTAAATCTTTATGATATATAGTAACTAATGAAATGATAGAAGATTAATTAAAGATCAAATAATGTGATTTGATTTCATGCAATAATGATGAGATAAATAATCATATGAACATGTCTGTTGTTTATTAAGATGAACATTTGTTTTATTTATTTAATAAAGGCCAGTATGTCGGTATATGTGATTCTATGAAAATATCAAGTATTGTATTCATCAATCAACAATGATTAATAGACATTGTTCTTATTATTAATTTTTTTTTTTGAAAGAAATTCTTTTGCATTGTTAAAGATACAATAAAATTATGTTTGGAATATTGCATTTGTTTTGTTTTTAGTGAAAGATAATTAAGAAATTTATGGGCTTATTAATTTTGTTTGAAATCTGAAGTGTTCTTTTAGCTTAGAGCTTAACTATTTCGATCAAAAAAAAAACAGTTAATCCGACATATGTTTAGTAAATCTATGAGAAAAAAAAATGAATGATGTGATTTAGCTTAACAAGTCAATCGTTTTTTTTCTATTGATTTTGAGATTTATTTCAATAGAATATGTTAGCTCTAGGTTGTCAAAGAAACTGATGTCTATGGAGATATGAACATTTTGAATATGGGTGCAAATCAATTATCTATATAAATTGATGATTCCATAATAACTGAACACAGAAGAACAAGTAATAAAAAAAATGTTTTGTTCTTACAAAGTAACGAATACCGGAAAAAAAAACTTTGCTTTAACTATGATCAGTTTATAATTACTGGAAAGTATTGCTCAAATTTCTATTTGAGTAATCATCTACAAGCATCAATCAAAATGTTAAATTTCCTTTGATTCTTCTAACAATAGGAGTTTGTGCGAAACTATTCTGTTCGAATGTTCAGTTGAAAATTTTAAACTAATAATTCTGTGTCTTTGTTACGTTTTTATAGTGGATTCGAACTAATGATCAAACATCTTCCATATGGCTACTGACTTCTCATAAGAACACTTCGAACTTTGACTTTTCATGATTGATGAATTGGCTCAACTGATAAATATGAAAAGAATGAAGCTCTTTGTAGTAGTTATTGACCATTATATGTCACTTCTCTGTTCAATATGACTTCTTCATAGTGTTGACTTTGATGATGTGTGTGCACGGATATCTATATATGACTGGAGTGATGAACTAGCACAATAAACATCGTTACCGAGGGTAGCGATAGAACTACTTCTCGAATTCATCACACTGTTGAAGCCATATACTAATAAAATTATTTCATTAATTTTAACTATATAATTTCAGTATTAAAATTATAACCGATTCTAATCACCTTTCAGTTGTTGGAATCAAAGAAACTATAAATATTATTCTAGTAATAATTGAAGATGATTTTTACAGAACATAGTAGCGAATAGAAAATACTTTGATTATCATTTCATCAAGAACTATTGCAATTAAGCATGTCAGTTCAATGGATGAATTATTATCCTACTGATGACTAAAAGGAGTTCTATATTCAATTGTATACTCATTTAGTCAATAAATTTGTAGAAATCAATGTCATCTCGTATTTCAAATAATGAATAGTAGCAGACCATAGTTTTATCATGATGATTGAGTTTTAAAAAAAGCCAAATATAATTATGTATGGAAAAGAGAAGAAAAAGTTCATCACTAGCAATGAATAGAAAACACTAAATAACAGCAAGTCTTTCGTTCCTTTCTTTCTCTATAATTGATGAGCAGTTGATTTGTTTATCATGTGACGCGAGCAATCAAAGATATTTTCAGTTGTTGTCTATTGTCTAAAACAGCGTTTAGTTCTTTCATTGTTCGAATGTATATAGTCAGTTATCAGAGAGATTAAGAAATGTTCTATGATAAGATTTTTGAATTGATTATCAATGTTTTTCAGTTCAACGAAATTAGTCGATTGGGATAAATAATTCATCTATAAAATTTTGACATCAGAGTCAAACAAAGGTAGGCTATGAAAATTTGAAGATTTAATGTTTTTTTTCTCTTTTAATTCAGTCTACTTTTTAATCGCTGTATCTATCGAATTCTAGTTGGGATAAGAGAAACTAGCTAGATGTATCCATTGAATTACGTATTATCAGTTGATCTCAGCATCATCGAAACAATTTCCTTTCTTCGATTTTCAAGAGAAAATGAAATATTGAAATAATAAATCGATTGTTACCGAAGATCTTTAAATGTTTTCAAAATTCTTTCGTTAGTAGAGCCAAACAAGGAAATATTGCAGTGTTTGACACTGCATACTGCTGTACAGACGCATTATGATGGTACACTGCTCTAATCTTTTTATACAGTGACGTTTCCATCTAATATAATATGAAACTTAGATTGACTATCTTGAAGAGCTTTACCAATTGAAATATAACAATTATGACAACTTCTTAGAACTCGCATTCAAACTTAGTTTTACTATCTTTGTGAAGAATTTCACAAAGTATGAGCCTTGTGTAGCTTTTACATCTTGTATTATCGGTCTAATGATCATCTGTTCATCCAAAATTTACTATAGTGAATCTACATGGTAGGATAATTTCTAAAAAGCTTGATTAGAAATTCTAAAATTCTTTCACAGAATAATAGTAATATATGACTTGATGAATCGCCATTGCGTCGTTTCAGAGAAGAAAATCGTAGCTTCCAATCTTGTTTCTATGAAAATTTATTCGAAAAATACTCTCTCTTTTCTATTTTGAAATAGGAAGTAATCAATGTTCGCCTGCCTTCCCTCTTTCTTCGCAATCGATATAACCATTGAGCATTGTGTAGGGAGGATTTACTCTTCGAACAAACAACTTTCAACACATTAGTATTCAACAAGTCGACAAAGGAAACATATATACCATTCATTTGTACACTAATGTATGTGGCAATTGTCAGTGTACTAACAGATAAATAAACCTATTCGAAATTTTCTCCAGTCACAACAGTATTATAAATTATCAGCAAAATTCATTTTAACCTGAGACAATATTGACTTAAGCAACAGGTGATTATTGAAGTTTATTTTTATTGCTATATGAAGATTTACATCGTAGTAATGTACTATTTTGTTGTTCTCTCGGTGACTCTATCGTTTATGAGTTTGTTTTGATTGCCGTAAATTTGACAAGTGAGTATTTAAACTGATGTTTATCATTGAGAACAATTTGAATTTTGCTGAAGAGCTATTTGATAGTACTTCTAGACGACATAATTTACCGATAAAACTGTCTTGATCAGTAACGACAAACTTTCATTGTAATTATACAAACTGATCAGTGTGTCAGCTCAACAATTGATATGAATAATTTCAAATTATTTCTCAATTCAACTTTTTATCGATTTGAAAACTTTTAGTCGCACTATTTTTCTACTTGAAACAATATCAAACTAGCATTTAATATAAGTAACGATTTTTTTCTTTCATAGATCGAGTTTGGGCCTCAATATGAGAAAAATTCTGATCATAACGTGCATACTTTTTTTTTGCTACTATCAAAATAAACATATTCTTCTCATAATAAGTAGTATGCTTAGGCTACTACAGTTCAAATGATTTTCAAAAATGGATTTTAGTTTATTTGAATAAAAGATCTTGAATATTAAAGTGAAATAAAGTATACGTGTAACAATCAAAGATATCTAATACAATCGTAATCTGAATCGCATCGGTTGTCTTTCACTTGCACACACCATTTTGATGCTTTTAATTCATTTGCAGCTGTTGTCCAATCTTGTTTTTGTAAAGCTTTTTTCATCTTAACGAATTTATTCAGTGTTCGACAACCAGCAAAAGCTACATCAATAATAGCTGCTCGTTTAATGGGAGGTAAATTAGGGACATATTGATCAACACATGATGCGGCTTCAGGATATGATATATTGTAAAAGATCTCATCAACTTGACTGTCAGTCAGACAATTTTTACTTGTATTTCTTTGACAATCATGTAAAACATTTGAAAGTTTTAAATTGTATTTCGACAGGACAGTGTTGGCATCTCCACGTCGTAAGTTGAAACCAATGCCAATTGTTGGAATTTTTAGTGAATCATAGTAACAGCATAATCGTCTACCTTCATTGATATTGGTTTGTTCTGGACCACATATACTCGATACCAGAGTTATATATAAAAGAAATGTGAGTAGTTTCAGCATTTCGTGCAATGTATAAAAGGAAAAAAGTTATCTAATGAGACTGTTCGAAAAAAGTGACGGACATATATAGTTCAAGAAAAAACGGATGTAGACGATGATGTCAGCTTTCATGACTTCATAAAATCAAGAAAAATCCAACCATAAACAACATTCTTACTCATCATTTTTATTTTCATGATGTTATGCATTAATATTTGCGATCTGTGGCAATATTTACCTACCTATATTGCGATAATTTTTTTTCTAACATAAACCCTTCTGTATTCAATTATTAAGCGATGCATCTGGATTCATTGATGCATGACAGTATTTCGTTAAGGTACAGAAGCATATTTTAACTATCTGATCGTTTTCTTTTATTAATGAGTATGGAAAGAAAGAGAAAAAAAAATAAAGAGAGAAAGAAACAAATGCTACACTATTTACAATCATAATGGATTAACTCTGCATGTGAAACAGAGCGAGGCAAGTACGCATTTTCTCGAGTACGAGTACCAACGTTCCGAATACACTATAGAAAAAAGACTGTTAGCACAATTCCTGCGAGTTTTAATATGGAAAATACGATGTAGCTACTTTTGTTATTCTCAAAGCTTTCGCTTTAATCCATCTGTTTTGAGGCACATAAGTCACGCTTTTACTTAATTCTTCAGAAGTGAAATAAAAAAGCACACTGTATATTATGATAATGCGATCTTGATGTACAATCTTCAGCTGTGTATTAAGAACGTCTCGCACAACTGGCAACACGGTCCCAGTTTGTTTGTCACGGCCATCAAGAAATGCGTTATTAATGAAATATTAATGAAATATTAGTTAGATATCAATTAATCAATTATTCAGTTAATTACTAAAATTTTCTTTCACGATTTGTGGAGAAAGAGGGAGGGGTCAAGAGGCTTTGCCGTACATCAGGCCGGTCTAGGTTTTTTAACGACATATACCGGCATGAAAAATTCAGACCGAAGCAAACCAGCAAGACTAATAGCAATAAACCGGTCTATGAATACTTACTTGTCTACAATTAGTTACCAGTCTATCGAGAATTACTGATCTACCAGTAATAGATTATTGTCGCAATGAAATTTAGTTTCCTAGTGAAATTTCGCAATTTATCAACTTAGATCATGAGTCTGAAATATCTGAACGTTTTTGTGGTAATATTCAATAAGCAGTTTTCTTTAAAAAAACAAAGTGATCAAAATATCAATGCCTTATATTTAATTTCATCGCATGACCACAATTCATTCCCTCGACTGTAAAGAGGGTCACATGAAAAAAAATAAAATGCGTTTGTGGCTGTGTCAAGGTCAGAAAAACATTAGAAATGAAATTGATTTAGGAATAACTTCTGAAGTTTCACCGAAGGTAATTGAAGTTGGGAATTTCGAATCTGAGATCGGATTTTCAAAATTCTGAGTTTGACTTTTTTTTTCTTAAGGAAAGGACTTTTGGAGAAAATAACGATATTTTATAAAGACTGACAAAAGGAAATCGAAACCGGTGAATCCGAATCTCAAGTGGGTTTTTCAAAATTTTGAGTTTGATTTTTTGTAGTCAAGGAAAGGCATTTTTTAGAAAATAATGTTTGTTTTATAAAGTTTGACAAAAGGCTCTCGAAGATGAGGAAAATGAATCCATGGGTCATTTCTTAAAATTTTCGAACCTGGGAATTTGATTAAAGAACGGCTATCCGAGGAAAAGGACGAGATTTTATACAGTTTGACTAAAGGTGTTCGGGGATGGAGAATTCGAATCCATTTGTCATTTCTCAAGATTAATGAATCTGAGCATCACAGTATGGATTGTCAATTCACGTAATCATGTGTCACTCAGTACACCACACAATCTCTCTCTAAGCAGGGCTCATGGAGTCGATGCGATACTGTTCGCGAAGTATTTTTCAATTTCATTCAAATCCAAATCTCTTTTCATTGTATTCGTTTGATATTATTGTTGAAACCAAAAGTATGATCAGGTTATATTAATTTAAAAGCAACGCTATGTACAAAGTATGTTTTTTGTATTTTATTTCGAGATGTCTTCTTAAATACTTCTATTATGATTAATTGAATCAAGAAATGATGCAATTAAAATATAATATGTTGAACTATCTGAAAAGTTTAAGAACAAATTTATATCTTTTGATCTCGCTCATGGTCCACACTGTCGAGACCGGCAAACTGAAACTGGTCCCGCACATTTCAAGCTTCTGCTCATGATGTCTAATCGCTTATTGTGGTTATTATAATCGAATATTCTCTAACTCTTATTATTGCTTGATTTAGAGCGATACTGCCGTTAAAAGTCTATTCTTGATCTCACGGAGAAAATCATTTGTGTATTTGTTACATCTACGCACGTAAGTGGTTTAAATTTCTTTAGTTATGATTTTTAATACACGAAGATATCAAGTGGTATTTTTAACAGAGTGAAATGTCCTTTCAATTCATTCATAAGAAATATCTAAAACATTTTCCAACTCCGTTGGAAATGGATTTATGATTATTTACAACGATTAATATGGGGTGTGGGTATGAGTGTGAGGGTGGGTGTGGGTGTGGGTGTGGTTCTGGATTTGGATGTGAATGTTGTACCTTTCTTGGTACACACTGCACACCCACCACACCCACATACCCACACCCACCCACCCTACAATTAGTTATTAGTGTTCGAAATAAAAGGCGTTGAATGAAATTGTAGAATAATAAAAAGAATTCGACATAACTAAGACTAAAATTCAATGCTGATTCTACAAATTTATCAGTTTTTTTTCTAGGCACTTCTTATCACTAATTGCACCATGAGCAACAGGCTTTTAAAAGTTTTACCGTCAGAAACTTCAAAATATTTTCGCGAGTCTCACCATATTATTACGAATATCTACATAAGCAATTAGATAAAATTTCTCTTTATCGAATAAACTCAGAAGTACAAAACTCGAACAGTAAGTTCCATAGAACAACAAACTGTTCTTCTTGCTTGAATCAGATAGTTAAAAAAAGATACAATGTTCCATTTTTCAACAACATATATTTACATGACGTTCAATTGCTTATCTATACCTGAAGCCTTCATAGGACTCTTGCCTAATAAAAAATTTTGATAAGATATCTAAGAATGATTTTAGATTATTGTAGATATTTACTTGAAGTAGAAGAAAGTACACCAGGATTCTGAACTCTTTAATTTATAATGATAGAAAGTTTTAATGCCGCATGAAATATTTGATTGTTGTTTCTCGTTTTTCTGTGATGATATACAAAGTTTGTAAAAAAATTTTCTTTCTTAAACATGAGCGTTTTGTTCATCAAGTGAATTCATTTACTTTATTTTAAATGAAAATAAAAGTATCAAAAATGAAAACTATAAGAAATACGTATTAAAATCCTGTGACAACGAGAAAAACATATCGAACTGAATGAAGAAAAGAATAAAACAAGTTTCAAAGCTATCAGGTAGTCGAACTTTTTTTTTTCAAAACTAGAATATGATAAAAGATTTGCTATAAAAAAGTTAATCTTCCCTACTACAAATATTTGATTAATGTTCATGATTACCCATACAAAATGAGTTTGGTTCAAATTTTCTTGCTATGAATTTCGAATCATATTTGATTGACAAACTTTTTATTTTTGTTTTAACACATGCTATAGATGATTTTGAAACAAACATGAGAAAATAACTTAAAATAAGTAGATTCTTCGCGAGCGTACATGACTACGATATCAAATTCTGGTTAATGATATACAGAAATAGTTTATTTTGAGTATTTTTTGCTCTTTTCTAATATTTACAATCAAAGTACATCAGTTGCTTTCAAACCTAATGAATTATAGCTTGAACTGGAGTAAATTGAAAGTAAGTTTTCACCATTCAAGCTTGCATGGCTTTAGGTATGAATATAGATGTGATTTTCATTTCCTTTTTCATCTACACTCGCAGACAAACAAGCATCGGTATGTACGATAGTATATAAACTCTCTAGATCAGCTTGAATTTCTTCTGGAAATTGTTCCTTTCTTTTACTTTTGATCTTATATTTGGTGTGACATGGGAATAACTGAGCCTTGCACTTCTAAGAACGGTGAAGCTTCTAATAATCTCTTTAAAATGTTCGAAAAGTTTCATGTATTTTTTCGAAAAAAAGGCCATAACCGTCAAACTATCGCGTACATGCTTGGAATCTGCAATTCCTCTAATTCACTAAAACATTTGATCTCTTTTCAGCATCTTCTTTGCTTATGTCTTTGTTTTTCTTTGCTTTAAAATTTTTATTTTGGCTGCTGTATCATTACAGAGTGTGAGTCATGGTCGAGAGCTGACTACTAAACAAGCACACTACTACACGCCATAGTCGTTTTCAGCAATTTTTTTAGTTAGTCATGACTGAAATTTTTTGGAATAGATAGAGTAACAATCAGTAAGTCTGTAGTACAAATTTCAGAACAAACAGCAAGAGTTGAGTGAAAAATCGAACAATTAAACTGTACCGTTAGTTTGAACAAGAAATTATCGTGTCTTCTTTCGCTAACTATCAAAATATTTTATGCAGAATAGAGGTTCTTGCCTAACAACGAACAAAATGTATGAAAACAGAGAAAAGAAAAAAACAGAGAGTAAGTTACATTGTATGAATCATTTTGAGCAAACAATATAACTAATTCTTGACACAGGTAATTGTTATTAATAGTGTATGCAAGTACGTTCTTTAGTAATAATTTTGTGGACATTGACAAACTACTAAAACATTATACTCTATAATATCTGATTTGGTATCTAGGTGTTGCTCTCCATTCAATAATTGAACCCGTTGAAAATTTCATCCGTAAGAAAGTTTTCTTTGTGCCGATGAAAGTTTGTCCGATATTTAATGAGCCTCCAAGAAGAATCCGTTAGTTTATGAGGTAGAATCGACAATCATCCTACACTCACTATGATAGCATTACGAAAGTGTTTCTTTTGCTTTAAGCTTCTTTTACTTGATGCCAGACTTAAAT